GCGTTCGCTTCTGACTCCGGCCCACCTCTCCGACCGAAAGGCCTGGCCAAGGAGGACCGACGCTAGCCTCTCGACTCCGGCCCGCCTCTCCGACTGGAAGGCCTGGCCAGCTCGCCTCCGACTCTAGCGCTCGCTTCCGACTCCAGCCGCCTCTCCGACCGGAAGACCTGGCCAAGGAGGAACGACACTAGCTTCCGTCGCTTCCGATTTCGGCCCACCTCTTCGACCAGGAAGGCCTGGCCGATAAGGGACGACGCTCGCCTCCAACTCTGACTCTCTTCTCCGATCGGGAGCACGAAGCCGACTGGGGAACGAACGACCGGGGACGCCCGCTCGGTGAAGACCCAGGAAACGGACAGAGCAAGTAAAGCAGGGCGCTCCAGTCAACCGTAATATCAAGGACCGTACCCTGCACACCTACAGGACAGTACTATCAGGTCATGTCAGAAGGGTACTTTATATCCTTCCAGACATGTCAGAACACCAACAGTGTTATGGGCGCCGACATTTATCCTACAGTATGGTAGGCGCCGACATCGGCCATACCAGAAGATCACGATGGAGCCTATCACATGCATCCGGACATCAACAGTGTTGAGGGCACCGACAAACCACATAGTACCTGACGCCGTGAGCAACAAGACTAGAACACACACACTCTCTTTCTCTCACACTCTCTCTTGTAAAGTCGTCCCCTTCATCTATAAAAGGGGATGGGCTCTCTCCAAAAGAGAGACGATTCAACCACCAGCGGATCGAATAACCTACGATTCGAATGATTCCAACAGAGCACACGCTCTAATACATAGCACACATAGGAGCTCCCGTCTCTCCCGGCTCTTCGGTCCAGAGTCTGACCGGACCTCTTGCACCCCCCATCTTACTCTCTCTCGTTTGTAACCCCACAGCAAACTTCGAGCACTTGGGCTCAGGAATAAAGTCACCGACCGACTCAAACTGGACGTAGAGCACATTGCCTGAACCAGTATAAACCCTGTGTTATTGAGTGCTAGACCACATCCGATCACAGCATACGACAAAACTACAAATATTTACATGTTGGTCACTTTCTGCACCGACACCCTCCATTCTTCTCTTTTATAAGGCGCAAACGCATATCAAGATTCAAACTTTAAAATCTTTGACTGATAATTTAGCTAATAAATTTTAATTATTATAATAAATATGGTTGGATTCATATTTAAATGTACTATTTGATTATCATAAATTTATAAATATAAATAATATAATATAAATAAATAAATGTTTAAAGTGTAACTTAGAAGTCTATGCCATGTTATGTTGTGCTTCATAAAAAAGAATGGAGGTAGCATGTAGCATAGTATCAAGTTTTGGGTTAACCCAAAATCGGGAAGGCTTGCATGTTGCATCCCTAGTGTCATCAAGTGGAAGCGGAGTAGTTGCGTCTACTTCAGTTTCGGCAAAGCACAAACGGATGCACGCGTTGCAACTTTGAATGATAGTCGATTTGTGTTTCACATCATTTCCAATCATTTCACCGTCGTCAAAAGATCCAGTGAGGAATAATTACCAAAGGAAAAAAAAGAACAATGAGCAAAAGAATGCACACACAGACACACACGCGAGGCCACCGTCATTTATAACGTGCATAATTCCGTGCGAGCGATCTAATGTCACATTATTGTTGTCGTGCTGCTCTTTGATGCTGCTGTCGACCGGCAGGCACTGCGCGAGCCATGACTGAGACTCATGCATGAATAGAGAGAGGCCCAATGCGAGCAAGAACGCACACGCCATCTAACTTTTCCATCCACATAAATGTCAAAATAAAAAGTTTTCGTGTCCACAGGCCCGGCCGCACCATGAATGATGAATATAAGCGCTCTGCTCAATCGAACCCGGCCCCGATATATTGGGCCCAGATAGAAAACTTTACTGTACAAACGAGCACGGAAAACAAAAAAAGAACAATAATGATAAGCCACGGCCGTCCGTCCGTAACTCCAGTCCAGACACGGCTCCACAGAAGCGGGCCCCAACTCTCCATCTCTCTCATAAATAGAAAAACGAATCCCCACTTTCTTATCCTGATGCCCGATGCAGCAGCATGGTCGCTCATTTGTCCGTGCCTCTTCCTCCACTGCGCGCTCATCGGCTGTCGCGACGTGCCCCACCGCCTCGCACCCGATCGCCGGCCACCCCGCGCGCCCGTCCCAGACACGTATGCTGCTCCCTCCCTCGCCGTCCGTCCATCCGTCTCCCATAGCCATCGTGCACGCTGCTGACACCGCCATGTCCGCTGGGGCGCATGTGTCGTGGCCCCTCAAGTCTTTTTCGGCCGAGCCAAGGGCACCCACGAGTGCGAGCGGTGTTGGTGGTGCTCACGCGATGCGGCTCGCCGCTAGCTCCGACCCCAATGTCTGGAATGGACCAGCCTGGCCTTCCGCTCACCTATCTTGCATATGTATGTTTTAAGTGTTCTAGGCGTTTCATATATATGTTGCAATTATTTCATCTTGGTGTTGCAAAAGTAGATCGAGGGATGTTGCACATGTTACATATGTTGCAAGTGTTTTAAAGGCATGTTGCAAGCGTTTGTTCAAAATGTTTCCTTTGTTTCCACACGTATGTTGCAATCGTTTTTTATCAGGATGTTACATGTGTTGCAACCATATGTTTCAAATGTTTCAGTTGTTTCAGTCTTATGTTGCAGCAAGTGGTTTCATGTTGCAAGTTGCAAGTGTTTTTTTATGTTTCATGAGCGCTTCACACACATGTTGCAAGAGCATGTTTATGTTGTTCGGCCGGGGGCGAGCCGAGGGCCGGCGGACGGGGCACGCGGCGCGTCGGGGGGCAAACGGAATGGGGCGTTGGGGCCGGCGGACGGAGGTGCTGGGGGCCGAAAGACGGGGGTGCTGCAGGTCGGGGGCACGCTAGGGTGTGCTTGTCCTCGGTCGCTCATCCCGGCTCCTGTGTGACGCCCGCATGGAGAGTTGGAGAGAGAGGAGGGGTCAGGGGAAGAACCTGCAGGTGCCGAGACAAGGCTAGAGCGCACCTGTGGGTGGGGCGAAGGTGGACGGGGCCAGGCTGCGCGGGTGTCTGGACGTTTGGACGTCCGGACGCTAGCCACGCCCAAAAGAAAAGTTTCTCAAAAAAATAGGCTCCCCCTGCACCGTACACCAGTAAATGGATTGCATGCTTGATCTGACATCAAATGATTCACCTGTTCGTTCATTTCATCGTTTGGGCCGGTCTTAGTGGAGTTTCATCCCATTAAAGTAATGTGACACATTAGTAATTTAAATGATGTGGCAACATAATTTTGAAGATAGATGGGTTTCGATTTCATGGGAACGAAACTTGGAAGACACCATTTCCTATGTCTAGGAAACTGGATGGCAGTGTGCAGGAGTGATTGCTTCATCAAGGTGGGGAGGAGATCTCGTGCGATGCATGCACCTAATCCGCACCTCCCCGCTCCCTGGTGCTGCCTCCCTGTTCCTTGGTGTTATCGCTCGCCATTCTCCATCATCTTCGCGCCTTCTTTGACTCCCTTCTTCCTTTTTCCATCCCTAAGCAAGCCACATCTTCAGATGGATGGTTTCGAGCCCTGTTTTGTTTAGCATGTCTTCTTTTGGTTATGGCTTATCTGAAGGAGACGGAGTCAGTGAAACCAGAAATACCGGCTTCACTGACTCCTAGCTCATTTCTGGCAGAGAAAGACAAATAACTCCTTGATGAGTGCTGGATATTCTCCAGAGCCGAAACCATTTTGTGACGAGAAGGCGAGAAGCCGCCCAAACAAAGTCTCATTCATCAGCCTAAACATGTAATGCCGAGATGGGATATCTATTCATCAGCCAAAATATGTACAGTAACACTGACATTGGCACTCTCATATGGAGTCCGCAAGATGGAACCTACATACCACCGTGATTGGGCGTGTACACTGGATTTTGTACCAGCTTGTTATTACTACTACTCTTATTGTAATTTTGTAAGAATATTAAAGGGCTTAATTGCCAAGACACTGTCCCCAATTTATCATTATTAATGAGCAACTTTTGACCGTTTGCTTTTTCGCGAGCTGCAGTATAGTAGGGTTCCCCTCCTTTCACACAATCATGTGATTTTAGTTCAAACAAATGCTGTTCAATCAACTAGTGACAAAAAAGAACCAGCAGATCCACGAACTTGTATCTGAAAGTACACCCACCATATATTGTTATGTCATTATAAGCAATATATTGTAAGAGAGTCTGGACTGCTCCACGAACTCTGCTCCATAAACTCTACCATAGAGCAACTCCACAAAAACCTGAAGTTTGTGGAGCATCCATTTATGTGCTCTCACAACTCTGCCATTTTTCCTCGAACAGAGCGAGTTGAAACTGTTTGATTAAAAAAACATAGAGTGAAGCAGTCTCAAACACTCCATAACAGTCAAATAGCGTTTAGCTCTAATAAAGACATGCAGGATAATAAATATAATATAACGTACAGAGAAAAGTCTGCATGAAAGAGTACTCCTTTTTTTTACATGATAAACCTAAATAGCTTCGTATCTTTTTATAGACATGCAAAGTAGATAAATTGAGCGCTCAAATGATAAAACTGTAAAATTATACGTTTTCTGAACAGCAGAGGGAGAGCGAGAGGGAGAAACTAAAGAAAATCGATCCATCACTGATGCGTCTAGTGGCCTGACAAAACTTCTTCTTTAGATCACGTAAATCCACCATACAAACTCATCAATAATCTCATGCAGAAAAAGGAAGCAGGGGGCATACAGACACGGGGAGCGTGTGATGAATTGGTTGTGCGTTACAAATATTGCAAGCAAGAACAAGGCAATAATAAATTGAGGCAACAAGAGACATGCATGGTCGAGCTACCTATGCTAGTGAGAGAAGGATCGAGTTGCGTGCATGGCCTTGGCACCTGCGAGCGAGAGGCAGCAGATCGAGCTGGATTTCATTTCGTTGCCCGGCTGCGTTCAGATCGATTCTTGTTTCCTTCTAGCTGGGCGTGGTGCTGGACGCCGAGGACTCCGGCGAGCAGTCGTCGTCCCACCGGTGCCCGGTGGCGGCTGTGGCTACGGCTACGGCGGCATCATCGGCGCCGCCGCTGTCGACGTCGCAGCAGAAGCAGCAGCAGCAGCGCTGCACCACCATGCGGCGGTGGAAGCTGCGGTGGCACCCGCAGGCCGCGCAGCGGAGCGCGGCGGTGGTGCCCTCCTCACCCTCGGCCAGGAACTCGCGGCACCCGTCCACGGCGTGGCCGCCCATGCTCGCCGCGTGGTTCCGCCGGCACTCCCCGTAGCACACGCCGCCGCCGCCACCGCTGCGGCAGGGGCACCCGCCGCCGAAGAGCACCGCCGGTGGAGGCGGCGGCGGCGGGTGGCACCGCCTCAGGATCACCATCCTCTTCATCATCTATCGCCTGATGATCTGATCCACTCCGATCCGATCAATCGTCGATCTTGCAGGCCGGCCAGCTACTAGGACAAACAAACAAACTGTTTCTTGATTTCTTCTCTCCTCTCCTCCTGGACGACGTCTCACTCTTTGCTTGGCTCTGAATGGTTGAAAGAGAGCGAGAGAGAGAGAGAGAGAGAGTAATGGCTAGCCCTGCATCTTGTGGTTCGACGAGTACAGGCGAGATGGATAGAGAGCAGCTGCCCTAGCTAGGTGCTAGCTAGATCACAGTGCAGAGATACACAGATATTTATAGCCCAGGCCAGCTTGGCCATGGCGCGCACACACAGGCACACAGCCCCCACCTACACGACGTACCTAACACCCGCCAATGGCTTAGTGTTGTTTGACATGCTGGGTGGGGTGCATAAAGCTCTCACATGCACGACCCTTTCAGTCATGCCTGTGGACGAGCTAAGGGCCTGTTTAGTTTCACTTCGTTTTGCCAAAATTTTTAAGATTTTCTGTCACATCGAATCTTTAGATGTATGCATGAAGCATTAAATATAAATAAAAAATAAAACTAATTACACAGTTTAGACAAAATCCACGAGACGAATCTTTTAAATCTAATTAGACTATAATTAGATACTAATTACTAAATAACAACGAAAATATTACCATGCTTATTTTGCAAAAAAATTTGCATCTAAACTGGGCCTAACTGGATCCATCGGAGAAGACCCTCCTCATGTCTCAGGCTGGCTGGCTGAATTGATGGTCCAGCCAATTCCACCTAGCTATAGCTCACCCCGGTCGATCGCAAACCCAGCCCAACATGATACTAACCTTACACCTCATACACATTTAATTCTTAATTGACATATAATTATTATCATTATTGTTGCATCTGTACGCACAGGAATCGAGTAATTGGAAACAATAATACTGTCCTTTTTTTTAACCAGGCGCCAGTTAACCCGGCCCTTCTCTATGAAGACACACATAATAGGTGTACCACTAGATTACCGAATAAAGGTTTGTCTATTTGGTACTGTTTTGGATCCTCCAGAAATAACACTAATATAATTTTACAGCTCTGGCTCCTCCAGAAATAACACTAACACTAATATAATTTTACAGCTCTGGCTCCTCCAGAAATAACACTAATATAATTTTGGTTTCTTGTTGGACGGAGCTCAAGCCTTTTCAAAAATATTTGGTAAAACATTTTCATGGTGGCAATGTGAGTAATAGGGATGAGCTAGCAAAAAAAAAAATCACTGACTGTGCAGTTCAAAAACATTTTTGGTTCCATGGCTCCTTACATTGTTTCTCGATGCAACAGTTGAGATAGTTTATTAACTCCTATTTATATATGTGGCCACAACTATCAATGTTCACTACAACACCTCATGCATGTTTAATAACCAGACTCGGCCTAGAGGAGTTTCTGTATCAGTGTCTCTTGATGTGTATATATTTTGTATCTTCCCACGTACCAGCTCTTAATACACAGTATAGACTGTAGGGTGTACTGATTTTTACATCAAATACAGGAGTTTCAAGTATCAGTGTCTTGATATGTAGTGTACATATTTTGTATCTTCCCACCTACTAGCTCTAAATACAGTATGGGACTCAGCATAGGACTATATAGGGTATACTGATTTTACATCAAATACAGGAGTTTCAAGTATCAGTGTCTTGATATGTAGTGTACATATTTTGTATCTTCCCACCTACTAGCTCTTAATACAGTATAGGACTCAGCATAGGACTGTAGGTATACTGATTTTACATCAAATATAATACAGGAGTTTCAAGTATCAATGTCTTCTTGATATGTAGTGTACATATTTTGTACCTTCCCACCTACTAGCTCTTAATACAGTATAGGAGTCGGCATAGGACTGTAGGGCATACTGATTTTACATCGAAATTTTGGACTGCCTTAACAAATGATTTGTTTTAGAAGGTAGATAGATCGTATGAGAGCAAGGCTAGTAATACAGCCGGCAGGCCAGCTGTAAGGATCCTTGCAACCTTCTCTCAGCTCACCCATATAATAGTTAGCTCTTCACTATTAATACATGGCCCATTTATCTCTCTCACAAAGTTTATCGGTTCTTGTGTCTAAGCCGGCTGTAAACTTACAGTCCGTTTCTCTTCAATTTCCTCTCCTCTCTCCTCCACATCAGCATTCAACCGGCTTGCGGCCTACTATTATACTTGCTCTGAGACATATAGGGATGCCAGACCATATTGCAGTGCTGCTGTTTCTCTGTTTTTTTTCCCTGGGGAAAAACACGTGTCGTACATACATAAATGTGAAGCCATTGCCAGCCTAGCGAGACGTCGAGGTTGGCGCTGGGGTGCTTTGGACTAATTGGCTTGCAATTGACTGGTTCTCCGATCTCCATGTGGGGCCCTGTTTAGTTCCACCAAATTTCTAATTTTGACACTATGTAAAAAGAAGATTTCCCGTCACATCAAATTTACGGTATATGTATGGAGTACTAAATGTTGACGAAATCAAAACTAATTGCACAGTTTAGTTGTACTTTACGAGACGAACGTTTTGAGCCTAATTAGTCAATGTTTGAACAATTATTACCAAATAAAAACGAAAAGTACAGTACCTCCCTGAATTTGGTGGCGCTGAATCGGACACCAAACTAAACGTGGCCCTTGTTTAGTTCACCAAAACTCCCAATTTTGACACTATGTAAAAAGAAGATTCCCCGTCATATCAAACTTGTGGTACATGCATGGAGTACTAAATGTTGACGAAATCAAAAACTAATTGCACAGTTTGGTTGTACTTTGAGAGATGAACGTTTTGAGCCTAATTAGTCAACGATTGGACAATTATTAACAAATAAAAACAAAACGCTACAGTGTAGCTACAGTGCCGACGAATTCAGCCGGCGCCGAATCTGGCCGGAACTAAACGCGGCCGTGGCCTGGGAGGATTTAGCTCAGCTGCTGCATGCCGTGTACAGTACAGTAGCCGCGAGCCCGTAACGCCGTGCCACGGCACGCAGGGTCCGTATACGTCTCTGTTCTGCGATGCCGCCTCCACTGTTGGACAGATTTCCCTCACTGTTGCAGCATGTGGTGAGCAGATGGGAATGTGCGCACGATTGGGAGATGCAAATTGAATGGCCGACCAAGCCAAGATTCCATCGACTGATAGAGCCTGAACGACAAGAGTTTTCATATTGTTCGGTTCTATGTTACAACAAAACTGCCATTGTGGCCTGTTCGCTTGACTAATAAGTCATGACTGTAAGTACTGTTGGCTGATTTGTTGTGAGAGAAAAATACTATTCCTTGGCTGAAAAAGTACGGCTTATAAGTTAAGCGAACTGAGCGTAAATCATCATTGCCTCATCCCTTTATAACATACTTTCCTACATAAAAAACAAATCTTTTAACAGCAGATCATTTCCTTTAGGTAGTGGTTCAGTTATATACAAATAACACGGCAACGGGCTGTGTAACGGAGCTCTCCTAGAAGTAGATACCTTTTTTGTTAACATGATCTCTGGGTATATATAATCTCCCAGCACAACGGCTACAATGTCAATACTTGGTAGTAGGTCACTGTACAGAGTCAGTGCAGTATTTATAGTTTATGACTGAGCGAGATGGCAGCAATTTAAAGTCCATGCGGTCCCGTCCGGTACCCCTGGCGACGCATTGCACTAGTGTCCTAGACGTAACGAAACCTGCCTGCTAGGCTCTCAAAACAATGAAGGCACTGTAGAGAGAGTAGCCTGTACGTAGCTGGGCCCGGGTTGCTTCATTGGCCCATCAGATAGGTGTGGGCCACTTCACTTCAATCCAAAAACGTTTTGCAATGTCAGAAACCCGTGCAATTTCATTTCTATATGTAATTCTATATATATTAATATTTAATCTATATATATAGACTATTAAAAATGGAAAAAAATCTTTTAAAAACACCTAGAATTCTGCTTTTGGCTTTCCGCTTTTTGAAACGGTGGAAATAGAGAGCTATTTTATAGCTGTTTCAAGAAAGGTAGAGATAAAAGGTAGGTTTTATACTTGTTTGAACCAAACAACTTACAATTTTTTCATAGCTCACAACCCATAACAACTTTCTCTAGCATATAACTCACAACAGTATTTTTAGAAGCCACAACTCAACCTAAGGTACCCTCAATCTGTCATCCTTCACTCATTCTTCTCGCTTGCATAACTTTCACTGTTGCTCGGCCATCCAAAACCGTGTGTCACGGTGCACGTGTTGGTAGCTGACTTTTCACCTTTCTTAAACTTACAGTACGTAGATAGCAGCTATCAATTTAAAATGAGTTAATCGCTTGTAAATTTTCCGTACGAGATTAATCATTTATTGCAATAGTATTTATTATGGGCCTAGGAATTATTTGATTTAAAGATTAGAAAAAGCCTAATTAAATTTAATAAAAAATAGCTAGCTCGTTATCATTGGCATGAACACCAAGCAATAATCTATATGTTCTATTACAACACACGGGTATATTTACTAGTAAATCAAATATCAAAGTACAATAATCCTTTCATGCATCCCTCACACACAGTCTCTCTCCCTTCGTTCTCTCCCCATCCATCAAGTCCTTGCTTCCACCCTTTTTGGTCAGTTTCTGTTTGACTCATTATTCCATCCCTCGTTTCCTCACATGTTTATTTGTTCGTCGCTTTCACCCATCTTCTTCATTTGTCTGTTCCTCAATTTTACCTTTCTTCTTTGATCCTCACTTTTAGCCCTCTTCTTCGTATCTCTGCCCCTCACTTCCATCCGTCTTCTTTGGTCCACATGGCTTCGGTTAACGTTTGGACCTACAAAACCTTTGTTGGCATCGGCTCTCTCAAGGTGTGGCTTGGTTGCCTGGGCTGGTGCGCGTTGTGATTCTGCGTGTGTAGACGTTCATGTTTTTTAGCTTTGCAATAGGTGCACACAAATAGCCACCTAGTAAATCTGGATCAATCTAAAGTCAATTTCTTTT